TTTCCTCCTCCTTTGGTTTCTTCCTACCATCACTCATCCGTTATATCCCCTGAGTCTTATATGTCCCAGCTTCTGTGAAGGCTGAGAATCCACAAAAGAGGCACGCCAAGCAACAGCTCCCCTTCTCCCCAGTGACTTACTCTCATGGAAATGTGGCAGAAGCTGTCTCTGATGTTAGTTGCCAGAGATAGGGGGAAGGGAAGGAAAGACTTTCCTGGGAGCCCATGGTTCCCCTTTCACCTCCTGCTTTTAACAAATATCGCTTCCCTGTTTGCTTCTGGGAAGGTTTTTGTTTTGCACCCCTCTGCTTCATCCCGGATAGGATTTTGAGTGGTGCACAATGGTCTATGCAATTCCACAAGGGAGTTTCCTGGTGAAAGGGGCAAAGGCACCTTCACGTTCTAGAAAAGGGCAGTGTTCTGACTTGCCCCTGAGCTTCCTGGTAGCCAATGGGAATAGGGTATCAGATCAGAACACAGGTCACTCTCGTGTGTGTGTGTGTGTGTGTGTGTGTGTGTGTGTGTGTGTGTGTGTGTGTGTGTGTGTGCAGCTTGAGGAGGGGGTGCCTTTATGAAGACAGCACTATGTTATTACTGTCAGTAATTATGAGCCATCAATAATAACCCTCACAGCAAACCCATTAAATAAATGCAGTTTTCACTTACAAGGGACAAAGCATCAGTGTGCTTGCTGAGAACCACATAGCTAAGACATGTGTCTCTGAATTCCAGGGCTGAACTTTTTCTGGCTTAGGTCAGCAGCATACACACGCTGCCTTATGTGAGGCCCTGGGCTAATCATCACTTGACTAGCGGCAGTGTTTTCTCCACTCCCTTCTGCAAGGAAGATATTATTAGCTCCCAGGATACTCTGCAGAGCCTCAGCCAGCCATGCTGCTCAGCCAGCAAGAGACTAAGATGTGAATCATATCAGCTCCACACTCCTCCCCTCCTCTGCATCCCAAGGCACACCAAGGGGGGCCCAGGGAGGGCTGGCAGCCATTCTGTGACAGGGCAGAAGGAAACTCCAGTGGGGTAGAAGGATGGGCAGAATTTGGGGATGGGCAGCCTGAGAGTGGATGGGGTAGGGGGAGGGGATGATTCAGACCCAAGGCCTGAGGAGCCTGGCGCACATCTGCTGTGTTTCTCAGACAGTGAGTCAGGCTGTGGGCGAAGCACCTGTGTGTGGAACTGACAGCTTCCAGGAGAGCATCATGGATCTCCTCGGGCCCAGGCTGGGGTCCCTAAACCGGAGGTGAAGCCAAGTAAAACTCACACATATGTGTCTGTCTGTACACGTGTGCACACATGAGTGAGTATGGTTTTAGAGATAAGGTCTTGGCGGGCGCTGGTGGCTCACACCTGTCATCCCAGCTACTCAGGAGGCTGAGATCAGAGGGTCATGGTTCAAAGTCAGCCCAGGCAGGAACGTCCATGAGACTTTTCTCTCCATTAACCGCCAGAAAACTAGAAAACTAGAAGTGGTATGGTGGCTCAAGTGGTAGAGTGATCTCCTTGAGCTGAAAAGCTAAGGGACAGTGCCCAGGCCCAGAGCTCAAGCCCTATGACTGACAAAAAAAAAAAAAAAAAAAGTTCTTGCTCTATAGACAAAACCTTGAGCTCAAAACCCTGCCTCACCCTCCCCAGTGCTGGGATTGCAGCTGGCACTTGGTGCAGCATTTAAAAAATAAAAATACAAAAAAAAATGTTCACAGTGGATAAAATATAAAATCCTTAAGCATAGATTCTGGGTCTTGCATTTAAATGAACTTTGGCCTGAGCTCTAATAAAACTTTATTTTCAAAAATAGTTGGCTAGTGGCTATAATTTGCTGATTTGAAATGTTAAACATTATCATTGAATGCATTTGTATCTGTATATGTAAACTCATACACACAAGTGTGGTGCCGGAAGTTGAACCTAGGGCCTCTGCATGCTAGAGATTATTCTACCACTCAGCTACACCCCAGCCCCCCAAATAATATTTCTTTCTTATACTTACAATAAAGGGAAATAACTTAGAGTATTAATAATAGCAAATATGTAAACAATAACTAGTAATAAATAGTAAACTCTGAAGTGGTGAGTTTGACGTATTTCTTACATATTTGCAGTAGTGTGTTTGTAATGGATGCTTGTACCAGAGCTTGAACTTGGGGCTTTGCACTCTCATTTAGCTTTCTTGCTTATGGCTGGTACTCTACCACTTGAGCTATGCTTCTAGCCCGAGTACAGAGGTTTGGCCTCAGGTCCTCACACTTGCTAGGCAGATGCTGTTCCCTTTCAGCCACAATCCCCAGCCTTTTTTTTTTTTTTTTGGTCCAGTTGTGGGGCCTGAACTCTGGGCTTGGGCACTGTCTCTCAGCTCTTCAGCTCAAAGGTAGCGCTCTACCACTTGAGCCACAGTGGCACTTCCGGCTTTTTTCTTTTTGCTTATGTGGTGCTGAGGAATGGAACCCAGGGCCTCAGGCATGCAAGGCAAGTGCTCTACCACTGAGCCACCTTCCCAGCACCCCCAGCCATTTTATTTTCAGTTATTTTCCAGGTAAGATTTCTCACTTTTTGCTTGGTTGGGCCTCAGGCTTCTGTTCTCCTGGGCTTATTTATGGGAATCTGATCTTGATTTTGATTCCTGCCTTGTAAGCCTTTATTTATTTATTTATTTGCCAGTCCTGAAGCTTAAACACAGGACCTGGGTGCTATCCCTAAGCTTCTTTGTGATCAAGGCCAGTGCTCTACTGCAACTTCTGACCTTTTCTGACTCAGAAAAAAGAGATAAGATTCTCTGGACTCACAGACTTTTTTTTTGGGTCCGGTCGTGGGGCCTGAACTTTGGGCCTGGGCACTGTCCCACTGTCCCTCAGCTCTTCAGCCCAAGGCTAGTGTTCTACCACTTGAGCCACAGCGCCACTCCCGGCTTTTTTTTCTTTTTGTTTATGTGGTGCCGAGGAATCGAACAAACCCAGGGCCTCAGGCATGCAAGGCAAGCGCTCTACCACTGAGCCACCTTCCCAGCCCCTCACAGACTTTTCTGTCCTGGCTAGTTTTGAACTGTGATCCTCAGATCTCAGCCTCCTGAATAGCTGGGATTACAGGCACAAGCCAGCCTTTAAGTTTATTCAATTGTAAAATTTCAGGGCTGGGAATGTGGCTCAGTGGTAAAGTGCTTGCCTAGCATGCATGAAACCCTGGGTTTAATTCCTCAGTACCACATACACAGAAAAAGTTGGAAGTGGTGCTGTGCCTCAAGTGGTAGAGTGCTAGCCTTGAGCAAAACAAGCTCAGGGACAGTATCCAGGCCTTGAATTCAAGCTCCATGACTGACAATAAATAAATAAAAACTATAAACTAAAACTTTAAAAATAAGAGGTCTCTTGTTTCCGTATCTTAAGAGTTCATTTCAATATGTATATTATTTTATATAAAATGATAAGGCACTGAGGCATTGTGCCTTTGTATTTTTCTCCTAAAATATCCTCTCTTGGTCTCACTCTGTGTGCATATCTCAAATCATATCCCAGTGCATTTTAGATCTAATTTCCACATATCAGAGAGAACATGTGCTTGTTTGTCTCTCTGAGCTTGGCTTACCTCATCAATATGATTTGTTCTAGTTCCACTCATTTCCCTGCAAATGATATTTTATTCTTTTTAATGTCTGTGTAAAATTCTATTGTATGTAGGCACCCCATTTTGTGGTTCCATTCATCTACTGTGGAGCATCTGGGCTGTTTCCATATCTTGGCTATTGTGAATGGTGCGGCAGTGAACATGGGTGTGCAGGTGTCCTTGTCATATCCTGGCTGGTGATGCTTCAGGGTAGATGCCCAGGAGTGGTATGGCTGGGTGGTAGGGAAGGTCTGTGTATTTGGAGGAACCTGCAGACTGCTGTCCTGAGTGGTTGTATTAATTTACTTTCCCACCAGCAGCACAGTAGGGCTCCTTTTCCCACATCCTCACCAACATTCGTTGTTGCTCCAACTCACAATGTTGGCCAGTTTTACTGGGGTGAGATGGAATCTGATGGAATATGGGTTTGTTTGTGTGTTTTTTCTGCTGGTCTTGGGGCCTGAACTCTGGGCCTGGGCACTGTCCCTCAGCTCTTCAGCTCAAGGCTAGTGCTCTACCACTTGAGCCACAGCACCACTTCTGGCTTTTTCTGCTCATGTGGTGCTGAGGAATCAAACCCAGGGCCTCAGGCATGCAAGGCAAGCACTCTACCACTGAGCCACCTTCCCAGCCCCTGGAATCTGTTTTGATTTGCATTTCCTTCATGGCTAGGATGGAGAGCATTTCCTCCCGTATTTCTGTGGCATTCTTCCCTCTTCTTCTGAGAAGTCTCTCCTTAGCTCTCTTGCTCGTTTAGTGATTGGTTTATTAAGTTTGGGAGGGGTTCGTTTCTTGAGCTCCTTGGATATACTGGCTATTGGGCCTTTGAGGCATTGCTGGCAAAGAGCTTCTCCCAGCCTGTCTGCTGTCTTTCTAGTGTATTAACTATATCCTTAGATTGTGCAGACACTTTGTATTGGGATGTCTTCCCACTTGTCAAGTCTGTCTGCTGGCTCTTGGGCCTCCTGGGACTCTTCTGTAGGTTTCTGCTGTACCTGTTAAGTGCGAATGTTTTTCTTACTCCCCCTTGCAGTAGTTTCAGGGTTTCAGGTCTGATGTCGAGGTCTTCGGCCCGCTTTGAATTGCTTTTAGTGCCCGGTGACGGTTTTCTGCATCTGGACGCTGGTCTTCCTTTGAAGAAGCAGACCAGGCCTTCTCCTCCCCAGGAAGTGGACAGACCCGGATGGTCCCTTCTCCGCCGCCCCGTCGTCTTGGCAACCGCGTCTCCCGAGCTGGTGGGGGGGGGGGGGAGGAAACTGGCTGGAAGTCCTTCCTCGGCGCTCCTATTGGTCAGAAGTTTGCAGTAGGCGGGCCATATCCTTATTCATTGGTTAGGCTTTGCGAGCCCACACGCTCTCATTGGCTGATTAACCAAAAGGGGCGGGGCCTCGGGTCAGCGGTTGTAGTGAGGCGCCGAAGCGCGGTGCTGCGCGGTGCCAGGACCGTCCCGGGATATTTGGAAGGTTAAAGGTGAGGGGGGAAGGGTCACGTGGGGATTAAGGGGTGAGAAGAGAGTGGAGGGAGATGGGTGGGGGTTCTCAGGTGTCTGTTCCCCAGGGGTATGACCACCGCGGCGGGGTCCGGCACCGGCTTCGGCTCGGTGTCCTGGTGGGGCCTGTCCCCGGCGCTGGACCTGCAGGCGGAGAGTGAGGCACCCCGGGGTCCTCCCACCGGGGGTCCCCCTGCACTCGGAAGCCCTCCCTCGGGGTCCCTTCCCCCAGGAGCCCCCTCACCCGGGAACCCTCCCCCGGGGTCTCCACACCCAGGAACCCTCCCCCGGGAGCCTTCCCCCGGGGTACCCCCACCCTGGAGCCTCCCCCGGGGGGTCCCCTTCACCCGGAGTCTCCCCCTCCCGGGTCGCGCGCCGTCTGAAGCCCAAGTCCCCAACCAGGGCCGGGGCGGAGCGGGGTCGCAGGGCTGGGCACAGGGCAGGGGCTCCCCGAGTCCCCTCTGCCGACTCCCAGCCTCAGGATGCTGGGCCGCGGATCCCTGGGAGCCCAGGCCCGACCAGGGTGAGCCTGCGGGGCCGCGGTGCGGAGGCCCAGCCTGCCGTCCTCCGGCCAGGTCCTCCTGCGGAATGGGACCGTCGGGCCGACCCCGAGCCCGGGCCCCCCGAGCTGGAGGTGCTGCTGCTGGGCTCCGTGGACGGGCGGCACCTGCTGCGGACCCTGGCCCGGGCGTCGCTGTGGCCTCGAAGGGGCTTCCAAGTGAGCTGGGGGGGGGGGGGTCTGGGGCCTGGGAGGGGAGGTAGGAAGAGAAGGGAGGAAGGAGGGAGGGGAGGGAGAGTAGGAAGGGGAGGAGGAAGGGAGGGGAGGGGGAAGGGAAGGAAGGGGGGAAGGAGGAAGAAGGGGAGAGGACAGAGGGAAGGAGGAGGAAGGGGAGAAGGGAGAGGAGGGGAAGGGGAGGAGAGGGGGAAGGGAAGGAGAAGGAGGGAAGGGAAGAGGTGGAAGGGAGGGGAGAGGGAGGAGGGAGGGGGTGGAGTAGGGTAAAGAGGAAGAACCTTACAGCCCACATCCCTGGGTTGTGGAGGGAAGAGGGTGTGGATCTAGAGCTGGAATCTGCATTGTCAGAGTCACCGGTGGGAGTTGGGATCCGGGACCGTTGTCTTGGGGGGAGCAAAGGGCCAGGGGCTTTGGGTTTTGACCAGGAGAAAGGTCTCTGGCATTGGGGGGTTAGGTTTTGGGGTTCTAGGGATGCAGATTCATTTTGCCCTGTCCATCTGACCTCCAGTTTTATGTGCTGGAGAATAATCTGGAAGCAGTGGCCCGGCACATGCTGATCTTCAGCCTTGCTCTGGAGGAGCTAGACAAGATGGGCATTCAAGGTCAGTTCTGATCCCACTTTCTTGCGTTATTCAATCACACCACTAAAACTTATAAACCTGATAGAGTGCTTGCCTCGATTGCACGAGGCCTTGGTTCGATTCCTCAGCACCACATAGGAAAACAACAATAGCAATAACCAAACCATGTTTCAATCACATTATTATTATTATTATTGTCAGTTGTGGGGCTTGAACTCTGGGCCTGGACGCTGCCCCTCAGCTCTTCTGCTCAAGGTGGGAGCTCTACCACTTGAGCCACAGCACCACTTCTGGTTTCCTAGTGGTTTATTGGAGATAAGAGTCTCAAGGACTTTCCTGCCCAGGGCTGGCTTTGAACAGCGATCCTCAGATCTCAGATTCCTGAGTTGCTGGGATGACAGGCGTGAGCCATCCGCCAGGGCTCAATCAATCACATTGTTTAATGCCAGCAATAAAGGCTGAGGAGGAAGGCCCTCCCCGCCTCTCCGCCCCAGGCGGAAGCAAGAGACCTCACGAACACTAAATGGAAAAGGGCTGGGTTGTCACTCAAGTGGAAGAGTGCTTAGAAGGTTTCCAGAGCCACTGTAGGTAGACAGACAGACGAGGTATCAGGCTGGCCCGGGATTCGGGGCCCCGGGTGAGGACTGGTGACCCCGTTATTCTCGGGCGGGCTCCTGGTCCGGGTCTGAGTCTGACGTGTGCTCTCTCGATCCCCCCCACCTCGTCTCTCCCCGCCCCCCTGCAGAGCGCAGCGAGACCTTCCTGGAGCTGTGGGGAAACGCGCTGCTGCGCCCCCCGGTGGCCGCCTACGTGCGCGCGCAGGCCGCGCGCCTGGCTCAGCTGGTCCCAGAGCCCGACCGCCTGGAGCGGCAGTTTCCCTGGCTCCGCCTCTGCGCTCTCAAGGTGCGGGCTCGGCTTCCCCCCGCCTGCCCCGCCGGGGACGGGGTCGGGGGGGGGGGGTCGCGAGTTCGGGTCCCGGGTCCCAGCTCGGGGACGGGGCGGGGTGCGGTCTCCGTGGTGGAAGGGAGCAGCCGCTCTCCCTACCCCACCCCGCTCTCTCCCCCGCGTGTCCGCAGTTTCGCGAGCGGGACGCCCTGGAGGCCGTGTTCCGCTTCTGGTCCGGAGCGGAGCGGGGCCCCGCGGCCTTCCCCGTGCGCCGGCTCTGGGACGCGCGGCTTCGCCATTACCTGGGCTCGCGCTACGACGCGCGCCACGGCGTCAGCGACTGGGACCTGCGCATGAAGCTGCACGACCGCGGGGTGAGGGGCGGACAGACGGACGGCCGCGAGGCGGGGGACGGAAGCGAGGCGGAGGGCGGACACGGGATCGTGGCCCCTGACGGTGCCGCGGGCTTCCCTAGCTGGCTTTTCCTCCACACCCAGGCCCAGGTCATCCACACCCGCGAGTTCCGGCGCTGGCGGGACACGGGCGTGGCCTTCGAGCTCAGGGACCCAGGAGCTTACCTTGAGCCCAACAGGACGCTGGCGTCCGGCCGCCTCCTGAGCCACGTTAGTGCCGCCTGCCCGTCTGACCTCTTCGTCCGGGGTTCCCGGTCTGGGTCTCGGGGAGGGCCTCGCCCACCTGCCCCCGTGCGGCTTTGCCCGCCCCCCACCTCCGTCCCCCTTCCCCACCCCCATCCGCCTGTGCGCGGCCTCGCTCGCCCACCCCCCTCCTCAACCCGCTCCCCCCGCCTCACCCCCCTTCGCAGCGTGGGGAACGCGTGGCGGCGCGCGGGTACTGGGGGGACATCGCCACGGGGCCCTTCGTGGCCTTCGGCATTGAGACGGACGACCAGAGCCTCCTGCGGACCAGCAACGGACAGCCGGTCAAGGTGTGGGCGCGGTCTTGGCCCCCCAAGTTCCAGCCTCCCCCAGGACTACACCCGGTCTCCCCCAGCGCCCCAAGTCCAGCCCTGCGCACGCGAGGTCCCTGCCCGGGTCCCGTCGAGCCTCTTCTCTGCCCGTCAGACCGCCGGGGAGATCACGCGGCACAACGTGGCGGAGCTGCTCCGGGAGCTGGCCGCCTGGGGGCGCTCGCAGGGGGACCCCGGGGCCGCCGACGCCTCAGGTGCTTGGCGGGGTGCTCGGGGGCGTGTCTCCCCTTTCCCCAAGTCCTAGCACCGTGGGGGATGGGGTCTGGGTCCCAGCGCTTGGGGCAGGCATCCGACCGGGCGACCATCACTGGCCCTGCCCGGTGCCAAGCCCTCTCCGGAGATGCCCGCTCTTCCTCTCTCCGTCTTCGGTTGCCTGGTGTAAAATGGACTCTGTAGGCGCACGGGGCTCCGGGGCGGGCGACCCGCCTCAGCCGGGAGGATGGCCGGCGGTGGCCGGCCTGGCCGGGGCGGGGGGAAGGGGGAGGAGTTCGCAGCGCAGGCCCCGCCGCCCCGGCCCCAGGCTTCGCGAGTCTCAAGGTCTGCCTCCCCGGCCCCCCCGCGGCTCCTACATCCAGGGAAGGCGCCCACCGCGGCGCCCTTCACCATCCACTTCCTGCCCCTGGGCTCCGCGCAGACTCTGCACCACAAGAGCTGCCACCGTGGCCGGTTCCAGCTCCTCTACGTGTCCTGCGGGTAAGGGGTACGGTGCAGGCACGGGGTCCCAGGCCCGGCCCCTCGAGCCCTGGAGCCCGTCCCCACCCAACCCTCCCCTGCTCTCTGCAGCATGGCCCATCTTCTCAGCCCCGAGCTGGGGGCCTGCGTGGCCCGCGGCGGGAACCTCGTCGTGGAACTCGCTCGGTGAGCCCGCGGAGCGCCGGGTTGGGGATCGGGGCGGGATTGGGGCCGGCCGGAAGCGGGGCCTCACCCGCCTTCCCTGAGCAGGTACATGGTGGACCTGCGGCCCGAGCAGCTGCGGGCTTTCTCCGCCCAGGTCGGGGAGCTGGCGCGGGCCGCTGGGTTCGCTGAGCACCCTGGGGCCCACCCCTCCGAGACCTTCGCGCGCTTCTGTAAGTCGGGGGACTCGGCCGCTTACCCCAAGGACTCAGCTGTGGGATCAGAACCTCCGCTCAGAGAGGTCCAAACCCCGCCTCTAGCAGGAATGAGCCCGCCCTGGGCGGAAGTGGCCACGCCCCTAGAAGCAATGAGCCCGCCCCAGGTGGACGCGGCCACGCCCCCAGAAGCAATGAGCCTGGCTCAGGAGGACGTGGCCACGCCCCTAGAAGCAATAAACCTGTCCCAGGAGGACGCAGCCACGCCCCCAGAAGCAATGAGTCCACCTCAGGCTGACGTGACCACGCCCCCAGAAACAATGGACCCTCCCCAAGATGACGTGACCACGCCCCCCGAAGCAATGGACCCGCCCCAGGTGGACGTGGCACACCCCCAGAAGCAATAAGCATACCGCGGACGGACGTGGCCACACCCCCTGACCTCTAGGCCTTGCCCCATTCTCAGAAGCTCTCTAGGTACTAGGGTCTGCGTACTAGGGTACACCGGAAGCTGCTGGCCCTGCCCAGGGAGGCTCTGGGCAGGTTGACTCCAAAACCAAGAGCCCAAACACCTCATCCTTAATAGACTGGAACCTGCTCAACAATTCTAACCCCGATAGAATTTTCTTTCTCAGCATTGGATGGATGCCGAGCATTTCGGATTCCGTTTCTGGGATTCTCCCTTCAACTCCTAGAACCCTACCTAGATGGTTTCTCAGCAGTCTGTTTCCCCTCTGCCGAGAGTTCTCACCTGAGACCTGGCCTCTGTTGTGCCTTTCTCCTGGGGCGGTCCCCGCTCAACCGGGGATGCGAAGGCTCTCCAAGGCCCAGTCAGCTCCCACACGGAGGAAATAAAAATGCTGGGATCTCTTCTCTGTCGGTGTCCAGTATTTCTCCTGACCCCAGTCTGTCTCCAGGGCTGGGAGTGGAGGGCCCGGATGTCCAGAAACCAGACTTCGGGGGTTCCAGGCAGACTGAGGTGTATTTCTCAGTAACATAGGTCCTACACCCCAACCCCTCAAACCAACCAGCTACAGGTACTGTATGGCTAGCAGATTTGGACCTCAAACTGACTCTAGGACGATGAAAAACATAGGGGACATTCTCAGCAGGGGCTGAAGGTGGAGGATCTTGGGTCTCGGAGGGAGGAGGGGCTGAGTGTCTGGATCTCTGCCCTTGAGAGCGGAGGGGGCTGAAGCTGGACTCTATCCAAAGTGGAAGGACCAGGGCAGGGCCCTGTAGTCTTGGGCTTGAAGGAAGGGGCTGGGGATCCGTCTTATGAGTCTGCAAGAGGAGGGGGTTAGAACTTGAAGGTCAGAGGGAGGAGGCCACTCGGGATCTGGCTGGAAGTCCGCCCGCCCCACCCCTCTCGCGTCATCCTTTCCCACCCTGGTGGGGGAGGAGACAGTATATTTAGTGTCTGTCCTCGGCCCTTATCTCAGCGTCCTCACCCAGGCTCGAGCGGACCGGAGGAGACCGCAGTTTGGGGACCGCCAAGGTCACCCCAGACACCCCTCACTGGCCTGGCAGGAGCCCCTGCTCTGCCTCCCACCTCCCATGGCTGATGAGTGTGTGGGGACCCCCAGGAAAGAGGGATGGATGGGGCGGTCTGCAGGGTCCTGGGAGGCTGGACAGTGTGTGTGGGGGGGACGCAGGGTAGGGTCCCGGGGAAGCAAGGTGAGAAAGCGGGAGGGGATCGGACTCCAGGCACCCCGGCGGGATGGACGGGTGGCCCCGGCCTCAGCGGGCCTCCGACATCCCTTCGGGGCCGCACCGCCATGGCCCACTAACCACCCTCTCCGTGTTCCCCTTGCAGGAGCAGCGAGGCGGTGAGTGCCACGGGCTGAAGCAGGGGTGGGGGGTGGCCTGGGGCTCCTGGGTGGGTGCCACACTGAGGAGTCTGCAGGGCGCAGGGGCTGGGGACGAGTGGGGACCTCTCGGTGGTGATGCGACTTCTGACCCTCTCCTTTACCCGCAGGCTGGGGAACCGAGCCCCGCCCCTGCCCCCGTCAGACGTCGCTCCTCTGCCAACTACCGGGCTTATGCCACGGAGCCCCACGCCAAGGTGGGCGAGGCCGGTGCGTCGATGGGCGGGGCTTGCGGGGGCGGGGTCAGTGCCCTGTGGGGTTTAGGGTCTTGGGTGAGGCCTCCTGATGGAGGGCGGGGCCAGGCCTCAGAGCCAGGGGGTGGGGTTTTGCTGTGGGCGGGGTTAAGATAGGTGGGTGGGCTTTCTGGAAAGGATAGGTTCCGATTGGTGGGAGCTGCCTGTGGGCAGAGTTCCGCTGTCCACAGGCTGGGGGGTGACTGGTCAGTGCCTAGCAGGACTGGAGTCCTAGACTGGTGAATGCATTTGAGAGGCATGCAAAAGGCACGCAAATGGGGAGCGACCCCCAGTCTGTAAGCACTTGACTGGGGTCGTGGAGTCCTTCCCACTGTCTATCACGTGTCCCTCCTTGACTCCTACATGCTCCACGTCGCCCTGGCAGAAAAAGTCTAAGATCTCCGCTTCAAGGAAACTGGAGCTGAAGGTGAGGCTGTCCGCCTGAGGGCGGGTGGGGGCCGGCAGGGCCCTGAGGGGCTGGGTCGTTGCTTTATGGGGCGGGGCCGGCGTGCCCCCTTCCCCTCCGCAGATGCTGATGCTGCAGATTGCCAAGCAGGAGCTGGAGCGGGAGGCGGAGGAGCGGCGCGGGGAGAAGGGCCGTGCCCTCAGCACCCGATGCCAGCCTCTGGAGCTGACCGGGCTGGGCTTCGAGGAGCTGCAGGTGAGGATGGACGATCGCCGGCCTGTGTGCCTGGGCTTAGGCGTGCAGGCAGGACGGCGCCTTCTACCCGGGGCCTAGCAGCCCAGCAGAAAAAGCCCAGGGACAGCGACCAGGTGCAGAATTCAAGCCCCACAACCCACCAAACGTAGCTCTGGACCACTTTAAGCCACAGCTCCACTTCCAGTTTTCTGGTGGTTCATTGGAGATAAGGGTTTCCTTCCTGGGTCGCCTTAAACTTGCAATCCTCAGATCTCAGCCTCCTGAGTAGCTAGCATGAGCCACGGGCGGCTGCCTGGCTGTAGCCTTAATCTCGGGAAAGCAAGGAGTTGAGTGACAGCCATTTCCAAAACATGGTTCCTCTAGCCAAATTCTCTGGAGTCTAGGCTCCAGTCTCCCACTTGCAGACCAGAGGGTCAGGCCCCAGCCCTCTTCCCTCAGACCCAGAGGTCCTGACTTTAGCTCTTTCACCCAGGTCCAGGGTTCAAACCCAGCCCTCATCCCACAGACCTGGGAATCCCATCTTCCATGACCCCACAACACACCCATTTCCCTTCACCAGGAGCTATGCCGGAAGCTCCACGCCCAGGTGGATAAGGTGGATGAGGAGAGATACGATGTGGAGGCAAAAGTTACCAAGAACATCACGGAGGTGGGAGTCTTGGGCGGGGTGGCACCCTCGGGCCTGGAGTCTCAGTCTGGCTCTGGCAGCTGCTTTTGGTGGCAGATCTCAGGAGAGTCAGGACCACTGTGACAGATGAACATAATATGGAAAGGGAAGTGTGTTTCAGCACATGGATCGCAGCAGCAATGCTGGGGCTGGGACGTGTAGATACTCTTGTGGAAATGTGTGGTTGGAGCACTGGACAGTGTAATGAATTCAAGAATGAGTGGGGTCTTGTGGCTTGCACCTCGCTGGCCATGATGTGTCAGAAGTGTCAGGAGACGAAGCTGGGGCACATCTGACAATCCTGAGTTCCAGAATTGTCCCCCTGAATAGCAGCAGGGGTCCAGGAAGGGAAGGTGAGCTTTGGAGGGAAGTGTAAGGTGGGAGGCATGTGGGTCAGACCTCCACACCCTCAGATTGCAGACCTGACCCAGAAGATCTTTGACCTCCGTGGCAAGTTTAAGCGGCCCACCCTGAGGAGGGTGCGGATCTCAGCAGATGCTATGATGCAGGCACTGCTGGGCACCCGGGCCAAGGAGACCTTGGACCTGCGGGCTCACCTGAAGCAGGTGAAAAAGGAGGACACTGAGAAGGTGAGCATTGGCAAGGCCCCTGGGCAGGGCCTGGGAGCTGCGATGGTGCTCAGATGAAGGCTGTGAGCAAGTGTGGAGGGAGTTGTGGCAGCTGGCAAAGGTTTTCAGTGAGAAGCACAGGGGACACAAGAAGTGCAAAAGGAAGGCAGGAGGTGAGCTGCACAGGGGACACAGGAAGTGCATGAGGAAGGCAGTAAGACATGAAGAGGGGAAGATAGTAAGTGCATTGGGGAGAGAGGAGGCAAGAATCAGGAAGTTGATGACTCTACCAGAAGTTCATGAGAGAAACAAAGCAACTCAGGAAAGAAGGGAAAGACAGGAGCATGGAAGGAAGGGAAGAAGGAAGCTGATGCAAATTGTACAAAGAAGTATTTAAGGGACACAGGAAATAGAAAGAAGACAGAAGATTAATAGTAAAGAAGTACTCAAGAAGATAGCAAAAGCTGGGTGCCAGTGTCTCATGCCTGTAATCCTAGCTATTCAGGAGGCTGAAATCTGAGGATTGTGGTTCAAAGCCAGCCTGGGCAAGAAAGTCCATGAGACTCTTATCTCCAATAAACCACCAGAAAACTGGAAGTGGTGTTGTGGCTCAAGTGTTAGAGCGCTCACCTTGAGCTGAAGAGCTGAGGGACAGCGCCCAGGCACAGAGTTCAAGCCCTATGACTGACAAAAAAAAAAAAAAAAAAGCAAAGTATATAAGGGGACAGGAAATGCCATGAAGGAGACAGGAAGTACCACAAAGGGAATAGGAAGTGCATGGGGGAATTGTCAGAGGGTTTACAATAGTGCTAGAACTAGATTCCTGGCCAGGCATCCAGAACACAGCGGTCCAGCAAGCCCCAGGGAAGGTAGGGGACACCCGGGGATGGGAGACAGGAAGAGATCCTAAGCTTTGACCTTATCCCTCACCCCCAGGAAAACCGGGAGGTGGGCGACTGGCGGAAGAACATTGATGCGCTGAGCGGAATGGAGGGCCGCAAGAAAAAGTTTGAGGGCTGAGCCCGCCAGGGCCACCTAGGCCCTGGGAATGTCCTCGAGGAATAAAGTCTCTCTCAGAGCCGGAAGTGACTGCTTGTCTGCGGCTGCGCGGAGGCTGGGGAAGTCAGAAAGGGAGGGCCCATGTCCCCAAGCCATGGCCCAGCCCAGGCAGGCTGGACTTCTACCATGGGTCTTGTGGTCACAATTCAAAAGAGAGGGACAGAGACACAGAGGGGTGCTGGGGAGACAGCCACGGACCCATGAGAGAAGAAGGATGACAGAAACACAAAGGAAGAAAACAGACTAGGGTACTCACTGAGCTGCAGGTAGATGGCGGAGATACAGAAAGAGGAACCCAAAAAGGGAAAAACCACATGGACTCACACCAGACTCGGAGAGAACTAGAGAGACAGACACTTGCGCCCCCCCCCCCCATTCCCCATGGAGCACAGAGAGAAAGCCAGAGGGAAACTGAGGTATGGACAGACAGTCAAGGGTCACCAGGAGCCACACACACCAAGGGGCAGAGACAAAGTCATAGACAGAAAACCCTGAGAGAAGAGACAAATAGCAGAACCCAACCAGAGAGCCAGGAAAGGTCGAGAAACAAAACACAAAGATGAAGACCAAGCGGCAGAGGATGCCTGTTTTCCAAGGCTGGTTTCCCTAGAGTTCAAGGTCATAGCTTGGCTGGAAAGGGGGTGGGGCAGAGGCTACAAAAACAGACCCGTGTCAGGTGGGGGGGAGGGGGAGGCCGCTCCAGTTTAATGACACCCTGTCCTCTCCCCTCCCCGCCACACCTGCTCCCCAGCTTTAGAGCCTGCTGTCACCAGGGTGGCATTCTGGTGACAAAGGGGTGGGGGCGGGGAGAGGGAAACAGAGGGACAGAGATGGAGAAGTTCAGAAAGACAGAGATACACCGGTGGAAGCCCTTAGGAGTCGTTGGTGAAACAAATGGAGCCCCGGAAACGGAGAGAGGGAGCAGGAAGTGGTCTTGTACCCACTTTATCATGAAGCATCCTCCTAGCGCTGGCTGTGTGCCCATTGTAGCACTTCAAAGCTCGGGCGCTGGGTCCCCGTCAGGGAGTTATTTAGTTCTCTTTGAGGGGGGTGCCTGACCCTGGCCCAGGGTCCAGGGGTCACCGATGGCGTCTTGGAGCATCTGGGAGATGCCTG